TCTGCAGTGCTTCCCGGGTCTGCAGTGCTTCCCCGCTCTGCTGTGCTTCCCCGCTCTGCAGTGCTTCCCCGCTCTGCAGTGCTTCCCGGGTCTGCAGTGCTTCCCGGGTCTGCAGTGCTTCCCAGGTCTGCAGTGCTTCCCGGCTCTGCAGTGCTTCCCGGCTCTGCAGTGCTTCCCCGCTCTGCAGTGCTTCCCGGCTCTGCAGTGCTTCCCGGCTCTGCAGTGCTTCCCGGCTCTGCAGTGCTTCCCCGCTCTGCAGTGCTTCCCGGCTCTGCAGTGCTTCCCCGCTCTGCAGTGCTTCCCGGGTCTGCAGTGCTTCCCGGGTCTGCAGTGCTTCCCGGGTCTGCAGTGCTTCCCCGCTCTGCAGTGCTTCCCGGGTCCGCTGTGCTTCCCGGCTCCGCTGTGCTTCCCGGGTCCACAGTGCTTCCCAGCTCTGCAGTGCTTCCCGGCTCTGCAGTGCTTCCCGGGTCTGCTGTGCTTCCCGGGTCCACAGTGCTTCCCGGCTCCGCAGTGCTTCCCGGCTCCGCAGTGCTTCCCGGGTCTGCAGTGCTTCCCGGCTCTGCAGTGCTTCCCGGGTCCGCAGTGCTTCCCGGGTCCGCAGTGCTTCCCGGGTCTGCAGTGCTTCCCCGCTCTGCTGTGCTTCCCGGGTCTGCAGTGCTTCCCCATTCTGCAGTGCTTCCCAGGTCTGCAGTGCTTCCCGGCTGTGCAGTGCTTCCCGGCTGTGCAGTGCTTCCTGGCTCTGCTGTGCTTCCCTGCTCTGCTGTGCTTCCCGGGTCTGCTGTGCTTCCCTGCTCTGCTGTGCTTCCCGGGTCTGCAGTGCTTCCCCGCTCTGCAGTGCTTCCCGGCTCTGCTGTGCTTCCCGGGTCTGCAGTGCTTCCCCACTCTGCAGTGCTTCCCGGCTCTGCAGTGCTTCCCCACTCTGCAGTGCTTCCCGGCTCTGCAGTGCTTCCCGGGTCTGCAGTGCTTCCCGGCTGTGCAGTGCTTCCCGGCTGTGCAGTGCTTCCCGGCTGTGCAGTGCTTCCCGGCTGTGCAGTGCTTCCCGGCTGTGCAGTGCTTCCCCGCTCTGCAGTGCTTCCCGGCTCTGCTGTGCTTCCCTGCTCTGCTGTGCTTCCCGGGTCTGCAGTGCTTCCCCGCTCTGCAGTGCTTCCCGGCTCTGCAGTGCTTCCCGGGTCTGCAGTGCTTCCCCGCTCTGCTGTGCTTTCCGGCTCAGCTCCCATGAGAGCTGCCAGGGCACGGAGTGCTCTGCTCTTCCTGGGGTACAGATGGCAGGGATATCCACAGAAGAATGGCACCCCCAGACACACCTAACAATGGCTGTGGCAGGATGTTCTTAGATGTGCACATCAGGCTGGCAGTGTAGAACATGTGTGTGCTGTAGGTGTGCACCTCCAAATCCATGGACACCAGAGAAGGAAAACAGCCCAAGATCCAAGTGTCACTTTATTTCCCCTTTTCTGTTCTTGTGAGACAAGGTCTCAGGTAGCTCAGGCTGCCCTTGAACTCCTGACCCCCCAGCCTCTACCCACTAAGTGCTGTGATGACAAGCATGTGCTGCCATGCCTGTACAAAATCTAAAAGGCAGCAGTCACTGAACACAGCAGGATGCAGCTATCTGTGAGTTGCTCCATCCCAAGTTACTGTGTCCACTGCATTAGTGCAATGGGAAAGGAGAGAAAAAACCACAAGGAAAGCACTCCATACACAGAGAGAACATGGCTAGCACCAAGAAATGTGATGCTGGGCCACACGACCCACCAGGAGCCATGTCCCACACAACAAACACTAATATCTGCTGGTGCCACACTCTTGGTGGTCCATTCTGGAAGAGCTCTGAGTGAATGTGCCTCACCCTGAGACTTAGCCTCTTAGGGAACCACAGGGTAGTTGACAGCCAGCTGCTAAGCAAACAGGATGTGTAAAATATGAAGTAACAAGCCATGGGCCATGTGGCAAAGCATAAAAAGAACTACAGGTTAATTTAAGTGTAAGAGCTAGTTAGTAACAAGCCTGAGCTATTAGACGAGCATTTGTAATGTAATATCAGCCTCTGTGGTTTCTTTGGGACCAGGCAGTTGGGACAGGAAACTCCGCCTACAGCCTCAGACTGCAGCTGCCTCTGGGCTTGACCACATACACACCCTTGTCTGTCCCACAATCCATAGCTACATCAGCTAGGGAGGGATACTGTGCTCTAAGTCAAGAGTCACAATGAGCTGGACTGGTGGCTTGTGCCCATAATCCCAGCACTCAGGAGGCTGCGACAAGAGGATGGTAAGTTTGAAGTCAGTCTTAGCTAGAGTGAGACTCTGTCACACACACCAGCCGCACACTCACCTTACAAATTGCTTCTAAGCATCATGGGAGCACTTGTGCCTTTTTTTCAGGACTGTAAGGCGCATGTTGTCCTGTGTGATGTGGCCTGCAAGACAATAAACTCAATGACAGGTTACCTGCTGAGTGACAGAGCAGCGCACAGAACAAGTCTGTGAACCATGGATGTCACACACACAGTCTAAGCAGCACTGTGGCTCTGCAATTGGGACTGTCCACAACAATGAAATCACTGGTCTTCTGAGTTCTGATCACCAGCAAATTAACTGTGGAACAAAATTATTGATTTTATTATTTATGTTTTTGAGATAAGGTATTATAAGCTGTCCAGGCTAGCCTCCAACTCATGAGTTCAAGCCATTGAGCCACAGGACCCAGCAGCTAAGACTGGGACACACACTACTGCAGCCAACAATAACTTACTGTGGTCTCTTTTACCCTCCTCATGTTAGCTCCAAATCCAGATGCCTGAATCCTTCAAGAAAAGGTATGGTGGTACATGTTTTTGATCCTAGTACTTGGGAGGCAGAGGCAGGCAAATCTTTGAGTCTGAAGCCAGCTGGGTCTACACTGTGAGACTCAGGAGAGACCCTGTGGTGGTAATCTAATTGTATTGAAATATTATTTTGATTTGTATTGAAATATTAATTTGATTGTATGTTAATAAATAAAGTTGTCTGGGGGTCAGAGCTATTAGAGCCATAGCAAGAGTGTGGCGGTGGTGGC